CCTCAGCTTTTCACATATACTTCATTTGGGGGTAACGAGGTGGTTACACCAAATCAACTCATATTCCTCAGCTTTTCACATATACTTCATTTGGGGGTAACGAGGTGGTTACTCCAAATCAACTCATATTCCTCAGCTTTTCACATATACTTCATTTGGGGTAACAAGGTGGATACTCCAAATCAACTCATATTCCTCAGTGTTTTACTTATACTTTATTTGGGTAACGAGGTGGTTGCACGATACCCTAGCGGGGTAACTTTGTAAGCGACGTGTTTGTAGTAGAATACCCGGTGTAATGGGATTATGACATCACTCATATGCAGACATAACAATGACACTTATTATTGCAGAATAATAAAAACATCCTATTACATGGTAAAATTATCTATCAATTTATTTTTAATTTTCGAACAAAGAAATCATTTACATTTTCTTTCGACAAACTCCAAGTTTTTCTTCCATTTTTGAACACGAGGATGATTGTCGGGTAATGATCGTTGTCCAATATCAACAGCTTGTTGATGAAATGGACGTGCTTTGAAATATTGACCCATCTTGTTATAGATGAAACCAATATTGCTGTACGATTGAGCCAGATCAGGATGATTGTCAGGTAGACTCTTCTGTCGAATTTCCAGTGCTGTTTTATGTGAGGCAAGTGCTTTAGTATGTTCTCCCATCTTTTCATATACAAATCCAATATTATGGTAGGAGTAAGCTAACTTGGGATCGTCCGGGAGTTTCATCTTTTGCCAAATTTCGATGGCTTTTTCATGGATTGAAAGAGCTTCGGGATAATTATCCATTTTTACAAGAACAGAGCCGATGCTACTGAAGGTAGCAGCCAAAGCTGGACCATTTACAGGTGATGTTTCTAGCTGAATGTTAAGCCCTTTTTTGTAATAGAACCAGGCTTTGTCGTATTCAATCTTCCTTTCATAGACCGAACCGATCTCGTTGAACGAAGTTGCTAAGACATAATCATTGGAGGGGTAGATCTGTTGTTTGATTTCCAATGATTTTTCAAAGAATACAATCGCTTGATCATATTTCTTTTGATTTTTATTGCTCCATCCAAGTTGATGATAAACCTGTGCACGCTCACGATTATTGCTGGTTTCACCGAGTAGAGCTTCATACAATTCTTCCGCTTTATCAAACTGGCCCAGTTTCATCAGTAATTTTCCTAATCGATCCCATCCAGTCGATCCTCGAATATCAGTACGCATTCGTTCCGTAAGAGCACTTAATTGTGCATCGTTATCGGTAGTCTGAAAGAGATCTACATGCCATAAGCGACTGTTTTCATTACTTTCAGTCATATTACCAATACGAAATACAGTATGCATCGAAAATAATATTTCATCTTCTGCATCATAGTGACTAACATCGCGAATCGAAGCATACGGAGCTGATTTGATCGCAGAATCAATTTTAATAACAAAGACAATACTGACTAAGGTATGATTTGCAAGAGCACTACGTGCAAAGATCTGGGCAACCTTAATATCTTTGCTAGTAGATAAAAAATTGTTGAAAGACATTAATCCACCTTGTGTGTTTTGCAGTTGGTCGAAATCTGTTTGAGATAAACTTTGACCTCGGTACACAGTCCAGTGTTTCGACTGATAACATTTATTATATTGTTCCGAGTGTAACTCGACAATCTGTTCATGAAGATCTCGAATGAAGAAACCCATTTTAATAATCGTATCAACTTCCATCATTCGTAAAGCACGATTAAGTAATGAATAAAGGCAACATTCATGTATGTACCACCATATCGGCGGACGCTGATCATAATTCATCTCAAATTGATCAATATTATTCAACTGAATAGTATTATCCGCAAAATTTTCTCGATAATATTCGGTAAACTTCTTCGTACGTTCTTCTGTAAAATCGATGGTCAAGAGAATTTCTTTTAGGATCTGGGTATACATGAATGTTGGATCTAATTGATCAATATTTTGATTGCATTTCTGCGAAACAAAACTAATGGAAATCGTATCTTGATCACATTTCTGTGCATCTTCTTTCAGTGACTGACACATGGCTGAAATAGAAGCGAATGTATCCATTACTTTAGGCCATTTTTGTATCGACTGCTGGTACAGGAATTCATGTGGAGAAAAAATATAGATAGAATTGATTTGAGGAATATTATGGATGACAGGGATAAGGTGCTGACAAAGTTTAGCGGAGATAATCAGCAAAACCTTTTCCTCTTGAATCTCAGTGAGAAAGTCGATGCATTCATCGGCATTAGTAAACATATGGATAGTATTGATAAAACTTTTGAGTTCGGTAAGAGATTGCTCATTTATTTCCTCGATGTTAGAAATTAACCCAACAATAACGAAGTTTTGAACGATACGGGAACTAAATGGTCCATGGAGTTTTGACTTCTGTTTAGGCCGTACTATACCAACGAAATGCCAGTTTTCCATTTATTCAACTAAATCCGTATTGTATTATAGACAGATGTTGTCGGACGAAGATTTTTTTTATTGTCGCTTACACTTGCTTGTTTGGGTATATTTCTGTCCGTCGTCGTGTTGCCATCATAACAGGCAGCAGTAAAGAGAAAAAATAACTGGCAGTAGAGAGAACGCAAAAGAAATGTAAGAAATTATTTAGAATATTAACATCATTTGTGTTACTCTTTCGCCTTTCCTTTGTTCACATCATTATACGTCGATGAAAAAAATAGAATTAGAAAATTCATCAGTTGAAGCCAAATTAACCACATAGTATATTTATTATATTTGATAGAAGACAAAAAGAAAAATATACACAATTAACAAGTTTGTAAAAGAATTTCAACATAGTTAGTACCATAATTTGCAACAATTAAGTCATATAAACCATCATTATTGATATCTCCAATAGTCACCGATTTTGGACGAGCATTATAACCAAGAGCATATGAATTTAATTTTGAGAAATTTCCTTTATTCGAACCAATGAATACAACTATTTCATTGCTATTAAAATTAGTAACAGCAATATCTAAATAATTGTCATTATTTAGATCTTTGATAGATATCGAAGAAGTGGAATATATTGATAGTAGAGTAATAGTTCCATTTCCATATCCTTGAAGGATGTGGGTGTAATTAGTTGAAGAATAGACACACACCCATCTGAGAATGAATTTCATTAACAGAATACCGTACTTCATAAGTATAAATTTCATGAGAAGCAGATCAGTAAATCGCTCCAAGACTATGATTTATATTGATACAAAATGAACTGTCTTCTTGAAACTATTGTCTAAAGAAAAAATATTTTGAATATAGATAAAATTTTCAATAATATTTCTAATCTGTTTGAATATGTTGATTTAAGATAATTTAGACATTTACAACAATACTAGTTAAAATGCAAATTTTTATTTTAATCAATGAAAATCAAATACATCAGTAAATGTAATATATCGATAATTTGATTCTATTTCTAAATGATTATATCTATTAATTAAAATTCGATAGAATTACATTTTGATTCTTATTTTTTTTATTATAAAATACAAAAATGTAATTGTTGTGTATTCTTTGTTTTTGAAATGAAATTCGATTGTTAGAAATTATTTCTGATGAATTACCTTGAGAAAAATAAAATAATAATTGAATTTTTGTTTTTCTTTCCAAACATGGGAAATTCTCTTGATTGTATTGTATAAGTTAAACATATTACAAGATCAAAAATTCATTACTTTGATGTACAACAAAATTACTATTGATCTAAATATGAAAATTGAATAAAATAATGGGATTGTGATTAAATTATCATTTATTTATACATATAAACATAACGAAGAGTTTTCGGATTTACAGATTCATTCTCGTAATATAACAATGGAAATTATTTTATTATAATTATTTGCATTCATATTGAATTATTAATAACTGATGATGGATTGGAAGATTCGCAAGCTCTTCATTATGTTCATATTTATATAAATGATGATTTAACCACAAAAAATGAGTCTCTTTGATCTAAACATATAAAACTATCGAAAATATTTTAGATTTAAATATGATTGTTTATAGATTTACTATAAAGTATTTTTTTAGTGAAAATAAAACATTTTTATTCTTTTAGAAATCAATGACGGAAAAAAATATACATTATTTGGTATTTTTATTAATTAAAAAACAAAATTGAAAAATATAACCAAATAAAAAATAGATAAAAAGTAACATTTATTTACGAATTACGTTATATTATCGATGGTCATTATTTATCGATCATAATTTATGTTTTAATGCATCTAGACGAAAGAAAACCCCCATAGACATATTTTATTCTATACATAAAATGCTCGAAGAACAGAATAACAAAGGCAACAGGCAAAGGACTATTATTTTTCTCACCTTATAATATCGAAATATATTTGGTTCTTATCATAAATGAAGGTGAATTTTATTTGAATTTTTTCGTGAGATGACAAAATACTTTGTATAATTTATTCAAATATTCCTCTTAAATAAGTTTATTTTTTATTCAAGAATTTATTTGATAATCTTATCGCCAAGAATAAATCGATAGATTACAAAATTCTCTCTGATATTGATCGCTAACTAACAATATAAAAAATAAAAGAATATGAATACGTTTGTTTGTTTGTTCTCCTCTTTATCAATAAATGAATAATGTGAGTATATGGTTATTGTTGTTTTGAATAGTGAAATAATAAACATTTATATCTATGGATAATGAGTATGATTGAAACGAGTTTACTGTTTTCGTTTGATATATATTTCATCAACTGTCGACAATATATTTTCAATTTTGAAATCAGCTTTTTTGTTCATTTATGAGAGTTGAATTCTTTGTAAGACGAAATGGATAATTAGTTGATCATGTTTTATATATGATTGATGACTCGATCAATATTATCTTAGACAAACCTATATATATTGACATATAATGTTCGATGGTAACTATATAATGAAGTAGATATTGATCTTTTCAATTATTTATGTCGACAGATAAATACTATCTGAGTGATAGGTATGCTAGTCTTGTGTTGAATCTGCTTGAAAATAAGTGTGCATTGATTCAAAGTTGACACAGTTAATTAGAATGATAATTTTGTTCGATTAAAAACAAAAATCGTCAAAGAATTTAATACTTTTTTGTTGTTTTTCTACAAAATAATTTTTTAAAATCAATTCTGTCATTCTTTATTATCTACGCAATATTTTATAGTTATTCTCAATTCATTATCGACATTCTGCGTATATAAACAAAATCACCTATGAATGATGATATTTATGAATACCACACCGTGAATAATTTTGATTAAAAATTGTATCTTTTGTTCGTTCTTTGATTTTGCCTATTCATAATGCATATTAGACATGAAATAATATGATCGCTTGGACATAATGTAAACCCCCCCCCCTATAATAGAAGCCCACCCCATATTAGAAGCCCTCCCGTATTAGAAGCCCACCCTGAGATGAGCAACGTGTCTGACGTATTAGAAGCCCCCTAATTTTTCCAAAATTTTTTTAAAATTTTTCATAATTTTTTCGAATTTCCCTGCTAAAGTTGCTAAAATTTCTCGATTTTAAGGTGAAATTTCGACTAACTCCTATCTAACTATGCTTAAATCTGAAAAAATTGCAAAAAATCTTCTGAAAAACTCATGAAAACCTTGAAAATCTCTAAAAACTTTCCGAATCGGTTTCCTTATCATAGTCTATGAAAATTTTTTGGGACTTAATAGAAGCCCCCTCCAAAAATTATAAACGGTAGCCAAATTAGAAGCCCAGGGGGCTTCTAATATGGGGGGGGGGGGGTTTAGATTATATCGCCTACATTTTGAACTGACTTTGATTTACATTTGGACAAAATGTCATTCCATTAGCCTTTCGAAATATTATTTAGCCGTCATTATATATAAAAGAATGATAATAGCCATTAAAACAAATATTTTTCATAAGAAAGAAATTGTTTTTTTTATATTTTCGGTTTGTATTTATATGTTTATATAGAAAGTCGTTATATTTTTGATTTCTAGAAATGTATTTTGTTAAACAAATATTAAGATTTGATGATCAATAGTTTCAAATAGTTTAGTTTCGAGAAATAGATGAAAGATCTGTTATAGACATACACATGTATATATGATGATTTATTTTTGCGTTCTAATCAGTTGTTCATATATATATATTCTCTTGTTTCTTTCTTTTTTGCTCTTTTGACCTACTCAGTTCTTCTCCATTATATCATTGTGAAGCAAAAGAAGATATTGTCTTCTCCCTGTATAAATACCTCATGTTTTTTTCTAATAATCAATGATTCTCCATGAGTCATCGTTTTTCCACTATTTTACTGTGTCATATGAAATTAAATAAGAAACACAGGAGAGTCAATTGATTTCTTTAGTTATTGTCTTCGTAATAGTAAAATGTTATTAACTATGGTACAATCAAAAGTCATATCAACACTAACACACAACAAATGTAAATACACATGCCGTGTATATAGTTCGTATCATTTGAGTGTTAAGTTTTTACTAATCGATTCCAAGATTAGACAACGTATCTGATGTATATGATAATATTCTGCAAATTTCTTTTAATTATTATTTATTTACTGGAAAATCTTTTCTGACTATAATACATAATCTATTCGAACGAGGTATACAGTTCAGCAGTGAATTTATTCGATATGCAGTAACATCGTTTTTTTGCTATTCAACCTTTTTTCTTTATCTATTTACTTTAATATGGAAAAATTGTAGGATAAATTTGAGAATTATATTTATTACGATTTAGTTGCTTAAATATTGATTCAAGTTTATTTATTATTGACTACAATTGAATTTTAACATCTAACAAATGAGTATCAAGATTAAAATAAGCGATTAGAATCAGTAGTATCTCAGGAGAAATAATTTTGTCAATAATTTCATGTCATTTTCGACATATAATAGACATTCTTGTTTAAATACTTGTTTTCAATACTATTTAACAACTGATATAGTTGAGTTTTCTAAAGATTCATTTAAATATGGAAGTACAAAGATGTGTTTTGGGTGTGATAGTTATTGGACTTATTAAAAATAGCTGTTATTTTGATGGATATTATAGTAAAATCATGTAGAACCGTTGGAGTTTTATTGATATTTACAATTTGTTATTATCGTATGTAGATTTTTGAAATCGTTCAGTTCTTCGAGAAAGTCTTTTCTAATAAATAAATTATCCACTAGTCAATCCATGCACTATTTAAATGTGTATACGCAAACATAAGCATTCGGTAATTTTTAGTCACATTTATTTTTTCTAAAGAGTTGTTTCTCTTTCAGATTGAATTAGTTTTCTATAATGGATGAAATCATACAAACCGAAAACTCATCTTCGACTCAACAACAACAACCTTCGTTAGAAGAAAAAGTTGATGATTGGCATATTGACAATTTTATAATACAAAGCAAAATTCCTAAGCTATTAAATTCACGAATGACTTGTATTTGTGTATATCCCTTCATCACCATGTCGATGACTGTTGGGTGTGGGTGCGTTTTACTCTTATCTCTTTTCATTCTCACCCATACCTATATTCTTTTCCTGTCAGATATATATGAGTTTTTTTCATGTGGATATTGTACACCGTCCAAAGACTAAAGGCTACAAAAAACAAATGTTTCGAAACAGTAAATGGTTATGTAGTAGGGGACAAAAAACTGCAACGTGGATCCACATAGATCCCACAATAGTAACCGAGGGATATAGCAAGCTAAAAGTAGAAGAAAATTCTTAATAGTTTTCTTTGTATTTTATAATCTTAATGTAGAAAAATTAAATTAACCTGCATGCATGTAACATTACCAAAAATTGGTAATTGTCGTAAAAGTAATTCACATGCACGTTCATCATTACATTCATAACATTTATCCAAAGAAATTGCTGCATATGTTTCAAATTCTAATGCTTGAAGTTGAAATTTATCTGTCATATCAACTGAATGAGATAATGAAGCATATTTTTTAAATATAGCTGAAGCTATTAAAGCTGCACATATACGAGATCGAACATGAAGAAATAATACTTTAGTTATTTCAGGCATATCCATAAAAACAGACCATAGAAAAAGATCACGGAACATATGATGTTTTGTATATTTACTCTGTGCATGTGTAAGTTGTCCGTGAACACGAATAGATGTTAATTCATCGATATCTTCATGTGCTGATACACAACAAGTACACATACGATTACTTAAATCGATTTTAAGACGATTTTTAAAACTATCATCATTAGCGGAATAAACTGAACCAAAAAATGAACCAATAAGTTTATTTATTCTGTAATCAAGTTGTTTTATTGATTCAAGTGGTAATGTACCAAATGATATCATTACACGACTTTTATGTGCCTAAAAAGAAAATTAAAATAGATATATTAATTTAACGAAAAATAAATAAACAAACCACATTCATTGCTTGATAACTTTTGTTATATAAATTTAAAATAACCAATTGATAACTATAAATATCATCTTTTTCAGCTAATGTTAATGGATCAAAACCAGCACTTAAAAAATATTCAATAAATGTTGCACGATTTTTTTCAAGAGATTTTAAGAATAATGCTTTTTGTCGTGCTATATCAGCCTAAAATAAATCATATACTTATATAAAGATCATGGAATGGATTTCTTCTTGATATTTACCTTCATAAAATCATGTTTTTTCCTTGCCATTTCACCTTGTCGTGCTTGTAATATTGGTAAGACCCCATCGAAATAATTCCATTTCAATGCCAAATCTACGAGTTTATCTTCATCATTTCGACGTTGTTTTACTTGTTCTAATAATTCATTTCCATTTTGTTTCGTATTTTCAACACTTTTTTTCTTATTTTTAGCTATAAATCAATGAAAACAAATAAATAATAATAATAATAAAAGAAAACGTTTTATGTCTAAATATATACCAGTAAATATTGCTTTAAAAATTCTTTCAGACACATTTTTATCACGATCCAAAGAGAAAACATGTAAGAGATGACGATGTTCTTCTTTAATATTTCTTGAATTCGTTTTATTGCTGAACTTTTATCTGAATAAGCAATATTAGGATAAAATCGATCAAGTGCTTGTTCAACTTCGTTTTTAGATGGATCCCTTAAAACAGATATGTTTAATATATACAACAAATAAAGTATTATATATTTTTATTACCAATCTTGAGTTCCATCAGGATTAGATGTTTGTTCGACTAATGTAGCCAATACATCAGCAATACGACCACTACCCTATATCGAAATGATTTCAACATAAATATTAGAAATATGAAGATATCATATACAAACTTGAATTAAAACAATAGGTCGTTCTCCATGAATATCATTTTCAAGAATTTCAAGACTACCTAGGCCTCCTTCAACAATAATTGTTATTGATTAACCTTTATATACACATATATATTAATAATTCAAAATATTATTAAAATACATACATGCATGTTGATCTTCTTTATCTTCACATGCTTCAGTAACAAATTGATGACGTTGTGAATCACTAAGATATTCATTTAATCGACCACTATCGAATAGAATACAATGTGTATGATTCAATTCAATTGTCTCTTTATTTTCTTGAGCACTTTCTGGTATTTGTCGTTGACATAATGGTCGTGGAGATCCCTTTAATATTAAAAAAATATATTCTTTGTAAAATAATCTATTATACATACTTGTGATGCACCTTTAAGTTCAAGACGTGTAGTTTCATTAATAGTACCCCACATAGTCATTCCAATACATTTAACTTTATTTGAATATTCTCGTAATAAACGATAATGTGAAATACCTTCACCAACTAATTTTGATACACCATTATTGATACCAGCAGTAAGAATCCATGCATCTAAAATAAATTTCTTAATATAATAAAAATGAAAAAATTTGTTTTTTATTATTTACCAGCCATAGTAGCAGCATCAATAACCCCTCTAATAAATTCTTTTTCAAGTCGTTCTGTCATTGTAAAATATTTAGCACCTCCATAAACACTAATAATTAAATCTGGTTTTTGTCCACCAGAATCTTCAAGAACTAATTGAAATAAATCTTTGATTGCTACTCGACTATCAACTCGAATAAATTTACATCCAACAGATTGTAATGTTCCATAGACATTAATAGGAACTTTTGTAGAATGACTTGCATTATCAAGAAATTTCGTTGGAGGTTCCCATGTAGTATTTCCATTTGCAGCCGCTTTAGATTGTAAACATTCACCAATTAAACTATGACGACGAATCATACGATCACAAGGACATAATTTATCTGATTCAGTTGATAAACTTGAATTAATATTGAATATACTACATGTACGTGATTTTAATTTTGTTTCACTATGACGAATAATAAGATCTTCCCATGATGATGATATATCACTCATTCTCATCTATATTTTTATAGGATTGATTATTTATGTACAAACCTAAAAAATAGATTATATCATTCCATATAGAATACTTAACTAGAAGAAAGTTATGTATACTGAAGAAGAAGAAAATGCTAACTTAAAATTTACATATATATTTACAACATTCATCATAGTCATTTTTACAGATATAAAACAAATTCAAATCTTAAGAAAATATTTATTTTGTTATAAATGCAATAGAATATTTTTATGTGCAAATATTTCAGAAAAGCAACGTGCAGCTGTTGTCATATGGTGACTTATTCCTTGAGAAAAAGTGCGTATTTTTTCAGGAAAAAAGAAAGAAACATGGTGCATAATTATATTTAAAAGTTTTATATCAGTCTTTAACCCCGTTACGGATTGAAGGGGTATATTTACGTCCGACTTTGAAGGAATAGACCGAAAAATATATAGACCTTTTATCATGCAATTATAATTATAGATACTAGCGCACCAAATGAATACTTCACCACCATCACAGCCTAACCTGACTATTTATATACTGTTTGTACTCAGTCTATTCTTTTAAAGTTGTTTTCTGTAATCATTACACTGACGTTAATACAACAATGCATAATGTCAGCGAAAATGAGTATAAAATAATGAATCTGTGAAACTAGTAAAGCAATCTCATGCGATGCACAAAAGAGAATATATCTTTTATTTGTGATATTTATAACGGTAAACTTTCTATCTATAAATACATATATTCTTTAACGTAGTATTAAAATCATGATTACATTTGCTCAATGGATATTCATATAAAATATATTGACAAACCAATGAAAATCATTTATAATATTATCATTTCTGTCTTGATATATATTGCATAAATAGGTTTACTATTTTGAAAAGTACGATATGCATTTGAAACGTATTAATTTTATTTTATTCCTTAAAAATAAATAGTTTTCACGTGAAAAAATATAATACATTCATCTTCAGATATAAATATAAAAACATGATATGTCTGTCTAGAGATAAATCTGTTGTTACAATATTTAAACTTTTAAAAATTAACAAGAAAAATCTTCTTACACAGCTTTTAATACTTACCAAACGTTTTTCTTCTATTATAACTACGGACTTTACCGTAGAAAAAAAGTTAGTGAGTTATTAGATGAAATTCTTTATAATAAAAAACACAAAATAATCATTTTAAAACTTATCTAATCTTTTTTTATGTATTGACCTTTTTTTAATCTTTATTATTCTTATGCTGATTATAAAATTTCCCGTACAGAAATTCCATTTTCCCTATTATAAAATATTATGCAAATACATCAATAAAGATTTTTCAAACACGTTTCAATAAGTTTATATTATAGATAGACTCTTTGCATTTGTATAAAATATTTTAATCAATATTCAAATGAAAAATTATCTTCGTACGTCATTGTTACCTTAAGGATATAATATTTGATTATTTACATGATCATGTTTTTGCCTATACTCATCCATAAATCAAAAGCATGTTATTTATTTCCAGTAAACAATTTCCCAATACGCATATGTCCCAGGCAAAATTAAGTTTTAGGCAAAATTAAACAGGCAAAAGTTGCTTTTCTTTCCGCGCGAAAATTTGAATTTTGTTTTTTTTTGGTCGAAAAAAAAATATCGAAAAATATTTTTCTATTATAATAAAATAGATTATTTGTATAGTATCGTCCAACAAAAAAAACATATTAAGAACAACTAATAAAAAATTAAGCGATTCATTGTACCATATATTTTTTCCAATTTTTCTGTGCTCGTCATTTATTATATACTAATTTATTCAACGTTTAGTATTATAAAAATATAAAATAATTGGTTGTCTCATCTCATAATATATTATTACATAGTTTTCCTAAAATTATTATTCCCATAAATTTTCTATATTAAAAATTTTTGCTAAGATCTACTAAATTAAATGTTTATGTCGCTTGTGTAAATGAACTGTATTCTATTTATCAAGGTTCGTTACTATGAAACACATAATGATTAAACATAAGCTATGACGACATTTTTAATTAGATAAATCGATGTATTTTGTTTTTATAATTAAAATATTACTATTCGATGGAAATATTTAATGAGAAAATAATACACAATCGCACGTCTCCGTTGCCTTATGTTTATTTAACTACTGACTTTCATTTTTTCTTGAATGTGATCGTAAATTTTAAAATCTGTTAGCATATTTCTTCTTTGATTTTATCATCACACGTAATAAACATTATCTAACTGAAAATATTCATGCCTTTTCCTATATAACCGATTCGACAAAATACTTATGAAATCACAATCACAGAAGAAAAAAATCTTCGTAAAACTGTCTTATATTTACAATATTATTTTTTATCAATTACGATCAATGTTTTAATCTTATTGCCATAAAAAAAATATAATATAATAAATACTCAACAATTCATTTCTAGCTAATAATCAATGTCCCCATGTCCCCATTATTAAAAAATACAATATAACAAAAAACGAAAATTCAATAATTCGTTTTTCAGCCAATAATCAATGTCCCCATGTTCCCATCATTTAAAAAAAATCAATATATTTAAAAATAAAAATCAAACAAATTTAGTTTTCTAGCAAATAATCGATGTCCCCATGTCCCCATTATCAAAAATAAATTCAATATATTTAAAATAAAAATCAAACAAATTTAATTTTCTAGCAAATAATCGATGTCCCCATGTCCCCATCATTTCAAAAAAATCAGTAAAATTAAAAATAAAAATTAAACGAATTTCATTTTTCAACCAATAATCAATGTTCCCATGTCCCCATTATCAAAAATAAACTCAATATATTTAAAATAAAAATCAAACAAATTTCATTTTTAGCAAATAATCGATGTCCCCATCTCTCCATTATTAAAAAAATACAATATAACAAAAAACGAAAATTCAACAATTCATTTTTAAGCGAATAATCAATGTCCCCATGTCCCCATTATTTAAAAAAACAATATAATAAAAACGAAAATTCAGCAATTCATTCTTTAGCCAATAATCAATGTCCCCATGTCCCCATTATCAAAAACAAATTCAATATATTTAAAATGAAAATCAAACAAATTTCATTTTTTATTCAATGATTAATGTCCCCATGTCCCCATTATCAAAAAAATAGTTAATATATTTAAAAACGAAAAACTAACAAAATCAATTCTACGTAATCGGAAATACTCTATTATTATAAAAATTCTTCTTAAAATCTACATACAATTTATTATTAGCGGAGATATGATAATTTTATAAAACTAAAACGAACGTTCTTCTAGTTCTATTTATAAATAGCTTATAGCTATAAAATACCACAAAAACTTCGAAAAAAAATTATTTTATCAATTTTAAACGTATTACAAACTCAACTAAATTCCAAACTTATCTGCGACAAATATAACTTGCCAACTCTACATCTTTCTAAAATTAAATTCATTTGTTATTGAATTCAGCGTAAGAACTTTATAACTTTGAAAAATTTTAAATAGTAATAACAACTGAATTATTTTCGGAAAATTTTTTAAAATTATGATCATAGAATCATTTTAAAATCAAGTTTAATTTTGCCTAAACCTTAATTCTGCCTGACACACATACATCATTTTTCAATAATAAATCTAAATAAAAAAAAAATACTCATTAATTCTTTACATAATAAATTGCTAGTGTGACGTTAAACTTAATACACAAATAATATTTCTCTAAAGACTTTAGTTTTCGATACTTGAATCATAATATGATTAAAAATTGGCTGAGATGTTTCTCAAGAGATTTTAACGGTAAATAAAACTACGATGAAAAATTTTTCTTCTGAGTTATGCTTACATATCAATAAAAGTTAAATCAAAAGCAAAATATACAAAAAAATTCTAGTTTTTGTACAACGAATACTTCGATATTTTTAATTCTAATCATATTTATTATTAGTAATTTTACTACTGCTGAAATTCATGGTAAGTGCATATGAATTAATTAAATTTTTATAAAGATATTATTTTTAAAGAATCTGATGGAAAAATTCTTTTGAATCGTTCAATATCATCATTGGATTCAAATGGTCATTATCGTTTACCTAATTATGAATTTCTATGTATACAACAATTATCAAAGTGTTCTAAACATGATTGGTCATTAATATTTCAATTAGAACTTAATCCAATAAATATTTTTGAACGTGAACGTAAATATTTATTATTTAGTGGTGGTGCACATGAACCACATAGTGATGGAATATTAATTTATTTATATCAATCAAAAAATACGTCATATCTTGATATTGATTTTAAAGAATTTCATAATGATCAAATTGCATTTTATTGGCAAATTGAAGCTGATTTAGAAATCAATAAATCGATTGATGTAGTAATAACTATTGAAAATCATGCAACATCAATTGGTCAACATCATCAAATGACAATTTTCTTCGATGGATATTTATATAAACAAACCGAAGTAGAAAAATATACAGAATTATATGTATTTAAATATGAGAAATTACATTCAACATCAATAACTATTTATGGAAATGATTCCGGAGTAGCTAGATTTGATAATATGATATATTATGAAAGAATTCTAACAGATGAAGAAATTGCTAATGGTTTGAATTTATTTATATATAATAATAAGATTTATTTGAGCAAATATTATTTTATTTTCTCAGAAAACAGTAACATTGGGATGCTTGAATGATAATGACCGTCCTCATCAATATATAACACCTGAAAATTTTAACAATCGGCAATTATGTCGTAGTGAATGTCATAATCGACGAATGAAGATATAAAAATTTTAATTTTTGTTTATGTTGATGTTGTCTATATTAGAATAGATTTACCATTGAAATTTATCTATCTTTCACCTGATAGTCCTAATTATTAAACTTCTCAAAATTTTTCTGTACAAAAATTTGGTAATAAAAATTGTTTTGTTCTTAAAACAAAACAAAACTAATAAATATTTTTATATTTTCTTAGAAAGTATACCGATAAATTGTACACTTGATTTTGGTGATGGATATCGACAAACAAATGGTACAGATCGTCATCAGTATTATACAGCTAATTTTTCAAGAGATTATACACGTTGAGGAGAATATACTATATTTGTTCGATTGTATAATTAACTTAGTATAAATTTTACACAAATAACACGAATTGTTCGACGAGAAAAATGATTACATATATAGATCTAATGGAAACATCAATAGCAACAAGATTTAATTTAATATCAAATGAAGATTATTTATTTCGACGTATGAACTGTTTAAATTTAAGAGATACAATTATAAATGAAGAAATGAAATTATACCAAATGAAGTAAGGTGAAAAAAAATTCAGTTATTGATTGTAATCGATTATTGATTCGATCTCCTTTGTTTGAAATTGAGCTTGTCCTATTTGACGCATTTTTTCAGATTTATGAAATGCAGTAACTAGATCATTCCATTCCACACAAATATTACATTCTTCTCGTTTGAGTTTACCCAGATCAGTTATGATATTCTGAAAAAAGATAATCACGAAGTTTAGAAGTATTGAATATTATAATGCACTTACATCATAAGCTCGAGCAAATGCTTCGGAAATGGCTTCTTGAACTATTCCTGCTATATCTGCAGCACTGTAATTATTTGTTATGTTAGCAAGTTCTTCAAGATGACTTGTTAATACATTTGATGATAGATTACCAGATTTTCTAACACCGCGAAGATGATAATTCATTATCTCCAATCTTTCGCGTGCGTTCGGTAGGTCTGGAAAAAAACATTAAATTTTTATCTATAGTCTAATAAATATCATCAGTATAAACTAACCTATTTTAATTTGTAAATCAAATCGACCATGACGAAGTAAGGCTGGTTCAAGCATATCAAAACGATTGGTTGTACCTAAAATAGAAATATACTTAATTTTTTCTTTAACTTCTATTCTTTCAATTACCGAAGACGATAATGTTGTTTAATTTTTTTTCCCCATCTAGCATCGTCAATAATTGAGTCACGATGCCGTTTCGTGTTTCACAAGCACCACTCTAAAAGATAATATATTAACAATGTTATATTCTATTTATCGACAAATCGTAGATTGTCGAATATAATTTTTATTGAAACTTACATCTGATGTTCGCTTTCTAAATAAAGCATCCATTTCGTCGAAAACAATGACGTGTAGTGGACTTGAATCACCTTTCTGAATATATGAAAAAAAATTATAAAATTGAATTATAATTTTACAATATTAATTACTTACATTTTCTTGATCGAAAATAGCTTCTTCAAAGAGCTCTCGAACTGCTTGCTCTGATTTGCCAAACACCGACTTTATTAGTTCTGGACCATTAATTACTTTTGGTTCAAGACCAAAATACTCGCACAATGCACTATAAAATAAATTTAGAAATATTGACAAGATAAAAGCTAATTTAGAAAACATACAGTATAGTGCTTGTTTTGCCTGTGCCAGGTGGTCCATGTAAAATAACACCACGAATATATTGAATTTCTATGAAATATACATTTGAGATAATGTGATCATCAAGTAGATGATACTTACTCATTTCTCTACACATATCGGACGGAAATTTTCGTGGTCTGAAAACTCGTCGAACAATTTCTTCAATTGCTGATGTGCAACCAGCAAGATTAAGTTTTTTGTAATCAATCTGCGCCTTCTTGTCTATCACTGATGATTTGACACCTTCTACACGATATTTATGATTTAAATGAAGACGACGCAGCTTGCTCTATTAAAGAAAACAAAAAAATAGATTGAAAAAAAATATCAATGAGCCACAATCATCTATATCATCGATAGAATATATTCATATGTTTCTGTCTCTTTCCAATTAACGATTGCTTATTTTCTCTCTTTCCAATTAACGATTACTTTTTTTTCTGTTTCCAATTAATGATTACTTATTTTTTAGTTATGTCATCACGATTTCTTTTTTCCATTGAATTGAAAATTTATTTCATCGAAGTTAGAAGAAACAATGAAATTTTAGCGAGATAAATAATTTCTATGTTTTGAAAGTTTTACAATCTTCTCCTTACATAATAAAGTTGCTATTGACTTTAAATGATCTTTCAATCAAAAAAGACGATTATAACGATGAAGAAAAAAAAAGAAAGGCGACAATGTTGTCGCTTGACGATAATTAGTCAGCCAAGATAATGAATGAACAGCGTGAATTTTAATGCAGTCAATATTGTGGCCAAAGAGTGAAATAGAAATGACTAATTAATGCTCTTCTTACCTCTTTTTCGTTGATTAAGATATAGCCATTTGTGACATATGAATTCATTATTAATCGAAATCGATGTTGAGTGCCATTCGATTTCGTTATTTGTATTTCTCTAAAAATAATGACAAATAAATAATACAATTCTTATTGTCTAAATTAGTTTCTTTTCATCTCTTCATGTCGGTAGCAAATAATAATCGATAAAGAAGATGTTTAATCGATCTCTGAACTATTTTTTTTTATTATTCTCTTGAATAATTTTTGAAAATTTTTTCGTAACTAATATAATAGAGGACAAAACATAAACTTTTACTTACGAATATGGTCTTAATTCCTGTACATTTGAATTAATAACAACAGCATTTTCGAGGCCTGGTTCATTTGTTCGTTGTACTTTGAGAATGACCATGATGAATTATGTATGAATTGAAAAATTGAATGTTGATTAAGAAAAGATGACGACTATTTATACCACCGAGAAAAGAAAATAAGACAATTATAGATAGTTATCACTTAAAACAAATTTCGTGATAATAATCCCATTAACATTTGATATTTGTCAAATCAGATAAACGTCTTGTGATAATTATCAAAGTGAATTTTTCCCTCACTGATACAAATGATATTTTCACGCATTCTCTATCATTGAAATGGCTTATCATGTATTCAATCAGATTATCAAAGATAAGCCAATCAAGCAAGCATAGAAATTTTTTCGTATAAATAGTGTGATTATTTACGTGTAGTGCATTATAAAATCAATTCATTATCTGCACTGTTGATTAATACATAATCCGCCCATTTCAATACTATAGGTATGTAAAACAATATTTGGTATATACTTTGTTACTACTCACCATATAGAATTACAATATCGAAAATGCTGTTGCGATCAAAAAAAATTACTCAAACATGCGAAACCACTACAATAAAGCAATCTGTTCAGAAACGACTAATACGGAAACTAGTTACAAGAGGTGAATCTTTATGAATACAAAATCTAGTAACTCAATGTTACCATTAATTTGTTATTTTAGGACAATATGAATTTGAAATTGAAGTTGAAGAAGAAATACTGGTACAAGAGGAGGAACAAATAGATCAACTTCAGAAGGTAGAAGAAGACAGGGAGGAGGCAGAAGAAGTAAAGGAGGAAGATGTAGAAGAAAAAAAAGAGGTCGAAGAAGAAGAAGAAGAAGAAGAGGCCGACGAAGAAGAAGAAGAAGAAGAAGAAAAGATACAGATCGAAGAAGATAACGAGGAAGAAGAAAAGAAACAGGTCGAAGAAGAAAAAAAACATTACAATCTACGAAAAAAAAGAGAACCACATGTTCAAGTTCAAGCTCCAGTACCAAAACCACGTTCATGTCGAGCTATCAATAAAGCGTAAGTAGCTTTTCTTTTAGATAAGAAACGGATAAAAGAAAAAAAATCTAGTGGAACGACTTGCATACTATAAATATTTTTTCACATAGAACTGAAGCTGATTCAAATTCCTTGGTTAAATACGAAACGGAGGAAAATCAAGCGTCATCATCAACTCGAACACTTCGACCAAGATTACAATTAGCAGCGCCTGCTGTTAAACCAAGAAAAATATATACCACAACAACGAGCACGTAAGATTCATTTCTTCAATATTATAAAAATAAATACGATTATTGTTTTTAGAGAGATGTGCACCATTCAATATACTAAACTAAAAGAGCAGATTGAAGAACGTATTAACACACATATTCAACGGGAGAAAGCTGCAGGCTATTTGTACAATTCGAGTAATATTTTTATATCAACTCATATTTTTATGTAATTTTTCTTTCTCAATTTAGAAAAACAACTTGACATCAATGAATTATTGACGTCATTAGATGAACTGAGTGCGCACCCAAAATTAAAAAATCTATCAGTAAGTTAATCAAGGCCTTTTTGTATTGAATGAGTGATATTTTCATGCTGTTCGTTGTTATCAGTGTTAGTTAACATATATAAAAAGCGAGAAGAAAAAAAAATCAGACAAGAGAAAGCCCTCAATAGCTGTTTAGAATGTATAACTGTTTTCATTGGATGATAATATATTAGCGACATAAGAATAATACTCATTGGACCAATATATAGAATTAATTATTTTTTTTAGAAAACATTCATTGAACATCAATCAACACAACCACGATTTTTAACTGACCTAGACTTTCAAGATGGAACTCTTGAATGCAAAGAGGTCAATAATAAACCAGCAGTTTATGCAGTTACTATATGCGTACCTGATTGGCTTTACGCTTCCATGAAGTCAGATCCAGAACTTCGCGATTCAGAAGTTTTGGGAACTGCTTGGTTCGATGGCATGGGATCAGTTCATCTTCGTGGTAAAATTGGTGAAGCCAAAAACTTTCATCGTCGTGTTCGGACATACAACAGTAATGATAAAACGAGTATGACAAATAATATATTATTTATACTATAATAATGTAATTTTCGTTTATCATAGGTGGACTAGGGCCGTTATTTGACCACTTAAGAAAAGAAGCAAAGGAATCCAAGGCTGAATTCACCGATTGGGTGAAAGTACGGGCAATTTTATCTGGTGAACGTTTACGTGTGAGTCAAATAATTGTTCACTAATTTAGTTTAATTTAATTTTTCTTGTTCAGGATGAAGAAGAACGTATTAAAATGGAGACACGGTGCTCATTTCTACTTGGAGAAGACGGCAATAGTGGCTATAATTGCGTTGGTCAATTCCACAAATTTACTCATGAGGAAACGGTTGCGCGTGGTGAGTGTTAAACCTATGAGAGAAATGCGAAATAAAAAAGATGTTATTGTTTTTATTTGATCATTTAGGAAAAATTTTACAGAAACGTTTGGATAAAATTGTTAAAGTTGAAAACGGATTACAAATCACGCTAAGGATGCTCAACGGTAAGACTTATTTTGTAATCACGAATTGATATATAATTATAATATTGTATATTATTTAGCAGCGAAAGCCCATGAGACAAGATCGAAACCAATTCCAGGTCCCAATGGTACCATAACAAACAGTTACAAACTTGCTGGTAAGACTTATTTTGTAACCATGAATTGATATGTAATTGTAATATTGTATATTATTTAGGTGCAAAATATAAGGCGACTATGTCAGCAACGTTCATAGATCCTGTTCGTGGTGAAATATCAGGATATGATATTATAAGTAAAGCACATTTTTTACGTTAATATCTCCATATCATTACAACAATGTATATAATTTAGGATCCAAATGTCTTGAAGGCTCAAAAAAGGTGAAGCCACAGAAAGATGGACGTCTTCGAAATGGCTATCAGCAAAAGGGTAAGATTTTTATAATTTTTAATAATAAATAATTAATATATTTTATTCTTTTAGCTGCTACAAGGTACCAAAATGACTCGGCTGAAGCAATAAAGGAAATCGACGATTTCGTTGAAAGAATGAATTTGAAGAAAGAACCTGGTTACGTAAAACCGAAAACACGGGACACGACGCTTTCGAAAACAAGCCAGTATGGATGGCGAGCAAAATGTCCAGAATGTAAAGAAGTTTATTGTGTTACAAATGTAAATAAAAAAAAACCAGATCGTTTGATTCCACCTCGATGCTTTAACAGAGAGAAACACACAAACAAACGGGTCATTTGGTTAAAAGCAAACAATCCGGTAATACGAAAATATACAAAGCAGTGACGATAATGCTTTCTCTTTCTAATATTTTTTTTTCACACAGAATAAATACATGAAATAACACATTTTATTTTTCTCTCAACAAAGATCACGGCAGTATTTGTTTGCTCTATCTTTTTCTTAACAATATTGTAGGCACTATATCTAGTTTATTCTAAAGAGAATGATAGAAGAGAAAAATAAGAAGAAAAAAAAAGAAATAGATGAAGAAGAAGATGATATATTTTTCATCAACGTATGGTGTATATATATATATGTACATGATCATGAGATCACACCATACGTTGAACAATGATACGTAGCGAACGATGATCATGTCATATACAAATATATCGAAAAGGACCAATGAAAGAATATCACACCATATATGAAATATAATAGAATAATTGAGGATGACCTCGATAACAAATATCTATATGCTTCATTTCTTTGAGTGTCGGTGTGATGTAAGAGAAGAGATACCTACATCCTTAGTATCATAGACAATTAATAGATATCAGTCGTTTCATTATTAATTAATAGTATCATTTGATAGTAATGTCTGATGTATTTTTTGAAATAATTTATCTAATGAAAGTTCCTATCGAGGTGTTGAACTATCTTATTTGGATAGAAAATATAAAGCATTGATGTATATCTCAACTAATTGTTTAACAATCTATTATATATTCTTATCAGCTAATTTTCCATCTATCTTTTATCAATGCCAATAACTTTATAGATAAAATTTTACTAGTTTGAGTTAGATATTGGAATGATTATTTAGATTTTTCTTACAGAAGTTTTCTTTAATTATAAAGTTTCGTAGATTTATATGTTCATAGAAAATTCAATTAACTTTTACAAAAATTTTGATATAAATGTAGTCGAATTGATGATTATTACTATACATATATTTTTGTAGCTAACGAGTATATCTTATTGGAAATATCGAAGAAAATAGAAAAGTACAGTGTTATATACTTACTATGATCAAATATTTACTATGTTTATGAGCACATATGGAATTATCATTCATTTATTTACGGAAAAAATTATATTGAGAATCATACTTGTTATATTTATAAATTTGTTGTATGATTGTATTCTCAAAACAGAACCGATAACGACTGTAGCGATGATTAGACTTGTTATCAATAAGCAGCTTGGAATAAAAAATCTCTACTTGAAATATGGTCGAAGAGCTTCATGATCACTATTTTTAAGAGCTCTATTGAGCATGAAATAGAGACTTCGATATGATACATTCTATTCAAATGTATACAAACGAATTGCAGCACTTTCATCAATTGTTAATCCATCAGGTGCTTGTTCTGGTGTTTTATCAAATACTAATTTAATATACAATGATAAATCATCAATGATATTTTCTAATGGGGCACATGCTTTATAAAGTGGTGATAGAGGCTCTTATGCATATTCTATAAAAGGATCAAGGTTTGTTCCAATATAGTTCATAATGTTCGATGTCACCGATTTTTTCCCGATGATATCATCTTCCACAAGTCGACGTTTTTTATGATGCTATCATCCCGAATGTTATCCAAATCTCTCATTACTTTCACATCATTTATATACGATCGATCACTATCAATCTCGACTCTTTTATTCATAACATCGCGATGATCATTGAGCCCGTCATTAACCAGCACGACTGATATCAACTCGAATCGGTCATCATTTCTCATCATTCTTTTGTTCAATATACGATTTTCCATATTTAATTATTGTTTTAATTAATATCGATGCTACAAAAAAGAAACAATTAGAATTATAACCGAAAATAATAAGCAACGAGTCCAGTAGAAATGACTATTTTATAAAAATACAAAATTCAGCTTAATATTGTATTATATTCTAAGCTTACTTACATTTTATCAACTGTTTACAAGATAAATTTTACATAGATATAGGACATAACAACATCAATTATCAGATAAAATCTATATCTAACAAACAATCATGGAATGTAGATAAATGATATTTCGTTTCATCAATAAATAATAAGAAAGAAAACAAATTGATGAAAATATACAGTAAAAAGTATTTCAAATAAACCTATATTATTATCATCGTTATAATTAAAACGCAAATATGAGTAATAGAGAGGTTGATTTGATTGTTATATAATAAAAAATATGTGATACGCCCTTTCGACTCAATGGTCTGTATTTTCTTTCTCGTTGATGTATCTCGTGCTTTTCTTTTCTTTCTTTCGTTATTTTATATATAACAACAGACTATATGCATATTAAAACATACACATCTGATATTTGTTCATAAAGAATATATTATAGATAGATAAATTTTTTTTGTTATTTAGTTCTATTAATATTATTTATTTTTTACAAAAGAAAAACTAAGACGTTTTTGACAAAATATAAAATTTATAAATACGTTGATTTTATTTATGATTATAATTCTTCAAATTAATTTTTATGATTATCTATTATATACTTCTTACATTGATGATTTTTTTATATGCTGAATCTTACTTGTAATATTTATCCTTGGATAATGATATCCAAGAATGATTGAATTATGTATTTTTTAAATAAAGATGAAAGGTAAAAGTTATTAATAATAATGTGAGAAAGGTGTACTCTTATTCTTTTGCTTTATTTATCGTGATTGACAATGCGTAGATTACTTTTCTATCATATAAACAAAAAATCAATTGTACGATTAAGTAGAAGAACCCATGGATGATACTTTTTCGCTCGTCATGTATGTATAAACGTAACGCATAATTTGCGTAGGGTGAGTAACGATGTGTACCTCATTTTCATTTCACACGCTCACTGATATTCACCCACACCTTCAAGATTATTATGATTTTTCGCATGATAAATTTATCTATTTCTGTCGAAGAATGACATACATACTTTGAAATTTACATATTATGTATATATGTATCAATTAAGTGCCGTATTCAAAGTAAATACGTAACATATAATCAACAAAAGAAATATACTCATAGCACATGTTATTTTAATGATAGATGATTTTAAAGAGAAAACGAGATTCTATTTTTATTTTTCAATTATTTACTTCTCGCATAGGATTTACTTAGTAGAAATTCAAAATATCCATAGCAAACAAGAAAATGAATGTTTTCATTTTTATATAAAAAACAACTCTACACAGTTATTTATTATAGTATCCATCGCTCTCTTTCTCTGTTATTTTGTTCAAATTAACATTTCAGTTTTCCATTTATCATAATATACATTTATTATTTATTAATAATAGAGGCATAGTCATATGTGGTTAACATTTCTAATGCACTTTTTCGGACAAACTAGACGAATATCAGAAATTGTCCTTTTGACACTGTTCACATATTAACAAGATCGAATTAGTTCACTGGTCTTCATAATCTGCAACTATTTCCGGAACTATATAATTAGATTTATACGTAATTACAGTCATGTAGATGAAGAATCAAACAAGGTAAGAGATTATACGCATGAATGTATTCTTTGTTTTTTTCTCTCTCCCTGTTTATAATTAGATAAAATAAATTATGGAGAAATATCATAATTCTACAGCTTAATTCAAATACAAAAAAAATTCTGTTCATCATTATAATGTCGACATTAGCAAGTCAATTACGAGAAAGTTTAGTATATGTTAATAGATATTGCTTAATACCCGTATTTATATTAGGTATCATAGGTAATATAGCTAATATGATAGTATTTTGTCAAGGTCGATTGAAAAATAATGGATGTTCATTATATTTTCTTATTGTTTCATTGATTAATATATTTATTCTTTGTTTTGGTTGTGTTGTTCGTATAGTAATTACATTAAGTGGATTTGACTCGAGTCATTTTTCATTATTTTTCTGTAAATGTCGTGTTTATTTTTTTATAGCTGGTCTTGGACTATCTCGATTTTATCTATGTTTAATATGTATTGATCGATGGTTAGTTACATCGTTAAATGCACGAACTCGTCGTTTAAGTAATGTGAAAACTATTCGACGAATCATTCTTGTTAGTACGATTATTTGGCTTTTATTTCATCTTCATGTAGCAATTGGATTTCGTATAGAAATCAGTGCTTATGTTCCATCATCAGATGGATTTTATTCCACATTTTATTTAATTACTGATCTTGGTTTTTCAATTATTCCATTTATTATCATAATTTTATTTATCAGTTTTCGATGTTTTTTTGACCCTGCGGACAAACACCCTAGTTTCCGTGCTGCCAACTCATCCTTTCAGGATTGAGAACAACATTAACTTTACATCGTATAATTATAAAAAAAAGATTAGGAAATAAACGTAATCCAATTGTACATCCAGTTGCACTTGTTGCGAGAAATAATCATCAGTCGAATTCCCAAAATACCATGAATGATCTAGATGAAAGATTATCAAATAGAAATCTTCAATTAATTAAATTAAATATAATTCAAGTAATCTTTTTTATTTTATTAAATCTTCCAAATACAATCAGCAGTGTCACATATCCGAAATGCTGGAGACGCACCGGGAGACGCGAGATATGCAACATAAGGATTAACATACTACTCACTCTCATGACTATATAATTTAACATAGCACAAATCTACTAACCCACGAGAACATATAGAGAGATCCTGAAACTCCCAATCAGACGCCGCGTCTCCCGGTACTTCTCTAAGAGACATCCTGCATC